GGCCGGATGTCGTCCGGAGTCAGGCAGACTCTTTTAATTGGGAAACACTTCGTTGGGCCGTAGTCTGCAATTAAAAAGCTATTAAAACTGAAAACCAAATGGCAAGGACACTGTATGATGCGTTATTTTCACACCATACACTGATTTATAATTAAAATGATATTTTTATAGAAAATTATATATATTTAATTATTATAATCCTAATTAAAGAAACTTAAAAACAACATAATATTATGCAACAAATATTTATCAGATTTTATTGACAATTTCTGATTTTTCATGAAGTATATACTAAAACTTGACGAAGGTAGATTACTTTCATTAACTAAATCCAATTTATTATGTTATATCCGTGATTTAAGGTTAACCATTTGATGGTTCTGAGACCACAGTGCAGACTTACTATACCAATTTCAAGGAAGTGACTTTGACTTTCTTGTGAGTCTTTTTTCTTAGAAATGCGTATTTGTTGTTTGTGTGGTAAGACTTGTGTGGATGCTTTGTGGCTGAGTATTTGGCACCCCTGAGGCCGCCTTTGGGGAAAAATCTTTTTCTTTCTGGCCCAGACTCTTTTTTCAGCCCGTCTCCCATGTTTTCCCCACTGGCCCACAGTCTGCACAAATCACGTCGAGGAAAATATCTACTTACAAAAAGAGCTAACGCCCATACTCACCTTGCGGCTATTTCAAATGCAAATTCTTTTTTGCTATATCAAATCCTTGGATTTTTTCTTTTATACGCCCAAGTGTTCTATTTTTGTTTTGCTTAGTTTATTTCCCTAGCTTTGGTGCATACCTTCAACTGATTAGTTGATTTGAGCGTCAATCAAAGTTGTGATGGAAACTATGAGAAACGGCTGATAATTTGCAAAGGTTCGCTAGAGTTATCTGAATGCTATAAAAACTGTCCGTTAATAGAGATTTCATTTAGTAACGGCCTTTGATTAAGGGATAAATCCGGATATAGTAAATATTGGCAAGTTAGCTTCCTTTCTTGTTACTAATTCAAACACTCATTCTACCAAAATAAAGAATAAGACCTAATCTCCGCTTTCAAAAAATGTTAAAATGTATATGACTTTCTTTTACTCCCTCTCAAATAAGATCCCTTCTCGGCGCTTCTTAAAAATAATAATTTTCTCTATTTCACTCTCTCTCTAAAAAGTGCCCTCCTCGGCGCTTCTCAACCTGTGTACTTAAGCTCCTTGGCAAACACAATTTTTTTGTTCTTCTTTTTCCGTTTTAAAATTTTAAATCAAGCCCTACGCTATCATAAAATCTGTACAAAATCAAATGTTCCAATTAAATTTTTTCTTTTATACGCGTTTCTATTTTTGTTCTATTTTTGTATTGCTTAGTTTATTTCCCTGGCTTTGGTACTTTCAATTGATTAGTTGATTTGAGCGTCAATCAAAGTTGTGGTGGAAAATGTGGAATAATCCAAGCAGGCTGATTATTTACGTAAGTTTGGTAGAGTTATTTTATTGTTTTAAAAACTTGGTCCGTTAATAAAGATTTTTTTTGAATAAGTAAAAATCTCGATATAGTTAATATTGTCAAGTTAGCTTCATTTCTTGTTACTAACTGAAATTCTCACTCTAACAGAATAAAAACAGACCTAATCTGCGCTTCTCAAAAAATGATAAAATGTATATGCCTTTCGATTACTCCCTCTCAAATAAGATCCCTTCTCAGCGCTTCTCAAAAATAATAACTTTCTCTATTTCACTCTCTCTCTAAAAAGTGCCCTCCTCGGCGCTTCTCAACCTGTGTACTAAGCACCTTGGCAAGCACAATTTTTTTATTCTTCTTCTTTTTCCGTTTTAAAGTTTTAAAAATCAAATTTTCCAATCCCAATTACTGATAAATAAATAAATAATTAATTATGAATACTGCAAAAACAGAACCCAACTCGTAGCCTTGTTTTAATTTTCGATACATTTTACTTATTATTGTTAATATTGTCAAACAACACAAGTTGAGCCGGTGTTTGCCCTTTTCCTAAAAACCCCACAATAATTTCTTACATTATTATTAATCCGCCATTGATGCATCTGTTAAAAATGTATGTTATTGATTAAGTCTAAGTTTTCTTATGAATAAAATGTTGGTATTTTTAAACATATACATATGTAGCTTGGTAATGTAGGAAACGAAAACTATGACTACCTATGACATGACATAACATAATATTAATAAATCAGAAAATATCGTTTTAGCAATAGAGTATCAATTTTTAATCAATCAATTAATAAAGGTTTTTATATATTTATTTTATTTTATAGATTATATCGATATTAACGTTAAATGGGATGACATGTTTCAAGATATTTATATTTATTGGATATTTTCGGTTTTCAGATCAAAATATGTGATGTTCCCGTTTTTTTTTAGCGTTGCATTCGACTTACATAAAATATCAATAAGTCCAATATGTTAACGATGCATTTAGATATTTACCATTTCGATAGGAAAAACTATTTACTATATTTGATACTTTTTGTACATATTATTGTTCCATTTAACATGCAAACATCCCTCTACTTTTTCTAACCCTAAATTTACATATTTAAATTTCGACATGTAGAACAATTAAAAATTGTTCGTAGTTCTTGTACATATCATATCAAACTGTTCCATTCCGATATACACACATCCCTCTCTACTTGGAAATTTAAATTTCGAAAAGCCGGCACATTGGCATGCCCTACTTTCTTCACCCGATTCCCTCCCCCTCGTCAATGGAGTCAAACTCTTCGGCAGTTTGCCATCAAGGTGCGCTTTAAAAGTGCGTGTCAGTCGACGGATGGGTGGCACGAGGACAAGGCAAGGCGAGGGGCGTGTGTGTCAAGGGTTAAGTGTTTTAAAGTGAGCCGCTATTCAGGCCATTTCTATGTTATCGCAATTTACCAACCACTCCTGCCGCCCTGGGGGCGTCAGATACCCCACGTGTCATTATCTTAATTTAAGGCAACCCATGCCGCCCCATGATGGAGCTTCTTTCAGTTCCCATATCTCTTACTTGAATACACAATTACGTGTGTGTGTGTGTGTGTGTGGCAAGGAGTGATGGGTGTGGGCTTTGGTGGTGCATGGTGGGGTGGCTTAAAATTAAATTTCTCATGCTTAGAGTTCCGGGACCTGTATCGTTGCTCATTATTATAGAGACACACACGTGGAGGGGAGAGTACGACGGAGCCCTCGTTACTGTGCGGCTACGTTACGACTTGAGATTCGAAGAGGGCTCTCCAGCTCTAGTACATCACTCAAGCGGGGTAAACTAACTTTGTGATAAAGTGCACAAAAGTGCAGCGAGTTGGAAAACTGCATACTATAAGGAGAGAAACTTATATAGAAGAGATGAAATCATGTTAGTATCTGCACATGGAGATTCCCCAATTAAGATTGTTTTCTATAGTTCAATTAAATCCGACTTTACAACTTGTATATATACGAATGAAAATGGAGTTTAGAAATTATATACGTATATCTGCATTGAGCTTTAACATTATTTCAAGTTGGAAAGAAGACTCAGGTTGGCTTTAGTTTTAAAGGGAATCACTGCTTTTTCCTATGCCCCCTAGGTCTATATGCACTTTTTGCTTTTGTTTTGATGTTATTAGACTCATGGGAACTTCACTTGCAATTTGCAATCTTTCCTTCTTGGCACCACAAGCTTGGATGGTACACACATATATATATGTATATAGTATATATTGTGAATTTCATACAGAGTTGGCACATAAAAGCAGCTCTAAATGGGTGGCCGAGTGTGTACCAGATACAGTGAAGGTGGCATAATGAGTGCAGGGGTTGCATTTGCTGCTTTATAAATAAACATCGAAGTGTTTTTGCATTTCATTATAAAATGTTGAAGATTTTCCAGGACTCTGAAAATGGATTAATATAACATAGCTGGGATATAAAAATTGTTATGTGTAAAGTAAATTTTTAGTACATTTACTTAACCTATTTGTAGCTTCTGTTATCTCAGGTAACCTTTCCAAAGGAGCTCTCTTCTTGCTTGATTGAATGATTTATACTAAAAGATCGAACCAATTAATGGAAATCCTTGAGTTCACTTTATTCCTCTTTAACTGTACTTGTTGATTTTCACAGAATTTCGCTTTTGAAATTTGCACAATTTAATTATAACCAAAGAAAGCGTAAACACAGCAGCAGCACGCTCTTTTGGCAATGCTCTTTTCCGGTTCTACGCATCGAGAATGCATCTGACTGGGGAAATGCATATTGAAAATGTGCATAAGCGCTGCCGTTGCAAAAGGGAAACAGGGTGGTGACAATGCCGTCTGCTGGGTATTTACGCAATCCGCACACCCATCCCATCCCACTCCCCCCACGCCCACAATCAATTATGCAATATGAAAAGCCAAGGCTTGTCCGAGCCATAACGAAAAATCGAAAAGCATTTGCGGCAATTTCTCAATTCGAGGCGAAAACGAAGGCAGCTGGCATGAGGCATGAGGCATGGGGAGCCTGGAGGGGGGTAGGCTGGGGACAGGACATCGGAAACGGAGCCGGGACCGGAGCTGGAGCCGGACCCCCGGGCTACGTCGACGTCTGCATTGCGCCATGCAAACTCGAGCTGCGGCAGCCACATCTCATTTTTTCCCATTTTGTATTATTGACAAAGAGGGGACTGCCTGCTGCCGACTGCCGACTGCCGCTTTTCATTGAATATTTTTGGGCCAGGACGAGGGTCTGGATAGAGAGAGGCCTCCAGACAGGGACGAAGCGTGTCCGGAGTTTTGTGCCAGAGGCCAGCAAACAGTTTGTGCGCCAACAACAATGCCGTGTAGACTCACAACTCGCAACTTGCAACTCGCAACTCGAGACTCGACATTCTGCTGACCTCAATATTTGTTCAACTTTTCAGCAACAATTTTGTTATGCGATTTTACTCCCCACATTCGCCCCCATGCCCTGAGCTGTCATAAATGCCAGCAGTTTGGCAGTTTTGTGCAGTGAAAGTGATTTTCGGTTAGAGCCCAGTTCAGTTGGTTTATTGCTTTGATTTGCTGCTCCTGCTGCTAGCTTAACTCCTGGCTGTGTCCTGGCAAATCGAATTCCCTCGTTCAAACAACAATCCACAGGCCAACCTGTAGGGAACATTGACGAATTAGAGGCTAGGGTTTGCTAATGCCAGTGACTCACCCACATGCGGGACAGGAGACGACACCCCAGGAGCGCTTGGCACACGGGTCCCAGGCTCAGGATCAGGACGAGGCGCAGTGCATTGACATTGGCCTGGCCGCTGCACATTAGAAGCTGCCAAATGGCCGAGGTGAAGCAGACGAACATCACGAAGTTGGAGGCCAGGACAAGAGTGCTAATGAAGCCTAGCTTGCAGCGCTGCAATGGAATCGAAAGAGGACTCTGGGCGGCAAAAAAGGACAATGGGGTCTGCTTACAGGCACTATGAGGGCCATATTAAATGACAACAGCAGGGCCAAATGGTGTCTGAAGAGAGTCTCAAAGAACTGCCAAGTGGAGGACCGCAGCACCTGATGCCAGCTATCCTGTTCAGCGTCCAAGCTCACGGTTTCCTCGTATACCAGGGGTACATAGTAAAAGGTGTTTACCGGTCCCGAAGAGCCCATCGAAGCTGTCGATTAATAGTTATTGCTTATGATTATATATAAATATTTGTGGGAAAATATAGTAACTCACTCTGAGCTAAGCGCTTGAACATGTTGATCACATAGTAGAGCAGAAAGTTGTGTAAGACAAGCAGCAGGGCGTCCTTCTTGAGGGGATTAATGGATCTCTGTTCAGGGAAAGATGAAAGTATTAAATACAGGATTCGATTGGAATGCAATAATTGTATTACAAAAATCAGGTAGATCTGGTACAGGTAAATGATACAAGTCACAATTAGCTGGTGTACGTCAGCCATTGGTTTTAGGTAAATAATTTATAGAATTTTGAATAGTATTTCCGAAACTAAAGTGTGTTGACACTAAAATGATGGCAGAGAACAAAAGTATTTACTGTCCTTTTATTACATAATTAAGATTTACCTTACTGCAAATCAGACTAACTAAAGTCATGAACCTTAATATCCCTTTAATACTTTTGCATAACATTATGCTTTTAGCTATCTCTGTGCTACATGCAGTTGCTGTGACTTGTTTAGCCTTGGATACATCTACTTATTTACCATATCCTTGGCATTTGCATTCATCAAGCTAACAATAACCTTTGCATATGAGCCGAGCCATCGCAATTATAATTAAGAGAGTCTGGCCGCAGGTTTTCTCTGGCAAGCACGCCAGCTAATGGCTTACAATTACCAATTAACAGATTATTCCGTTGACCAGTGCACTTGACGCTGATGGAGACGCACGCATGTCAGAGTTAAGGCCAAAACAATATATAATTGAATTTAAATTTCCAGCCTGTCCAAATAACGTAAAGCATTTCTCCGCATTTTAAGTGAGTGAGTGTCCGTCAGGCAAAGCGGCCACAAGCGGGGGCAATAAGAGTTGCGAAAACAAGGACATCATCAGGCTGCAAACTCTGCAATGGCATTTTCACATATTGTGCAAACAATAAACATTGTTAATTAATTTACTTCAACTCGAGCGGCATCTGCACTCTCACTCACACCACACTGACAAGACCCACTTTAAGCCTCTCTGCACATAATCAACGCGGGTTGCACAAGGGCTTCCGAAATGATTCCTATTCATTAAAACTTGTGCTGATGTTTAAGCGAAAATAAACAGAAACACTAGCTATGGAATTTGTGTTTTTATCATATTAAAATGCAAATGAAAACTATGTTTTTATGGCTTGTAAAATTGCTACTTTCCTCGAAATAAAATCCTCGAATTCGAGTTGGAATTGATTTGCGGAACGCACTCTGCGCTCCCATGGAAATCACTTATTAACGCTTACATGATACTGCGCTTACTTTGAGCTTTTGATAACTTGTGGCATATTTCAGCAGCAGCAGCAGCAACAGCAACTATAATGCCTCATGCCGGCCGTATCATTATAAATAATGACTCTGATTAAATATGATGTAATCCCTCGAAAGGGCTGCCGTTTGGGCCATTTTTAAAAATGCTGCAAACTTAATTAAACATTAATCATAGGAGCAAAAGGGTGGTAGTGGTGATGAGATAAGGTGGCTCGCCTGTGGCACAGACAAGTGCATTAATTAACGGCCAGTTGTCCCTGGTAACTGACCATAAAGGATTTGGGCTATTAATCGAACGATTTTCGGATCAATATTCCCCGGGCAATGCGCACTCATAACATAACATATCTCATGCAGTGTACCTTTTTATTTTTAGTAATTTTTTCCTTTGGGCCATTTAAGAACAACTGTCACGTACGTCGAGGAGGCCCCAAAAACACACGCGCAGCGCACACTTACCATTTCATCAAAGGAAATCGAGCTTGAATTGATTTTGCACACACACATAAGCCGTCCCAGGCTCCTTGGAAATATACCTTGGCCCTAATGTGTGTCATTTGGCCGGCAGTTATCTTCAGGCCAAATGCACAAAGGGCGGTAATTTTACTTCCATTCCCAGTCTCTTTTTTTTTGTTGGTTGGCAAAAACAGGAGACCCGAAAACTCAAGGGAGGTGATTTCTTTTTGATTTTCCTTTCTTGTTAGCTAAGTGAATTTGTATTTGCCATTGCATTTAGACAATGTCGATTAAATTTATTCGATTGGGGACTCCATTTGGTGGCATATATTTGATTTGATTTTTCTTTTAGTTAGTTAGTCAACCGCAACAGAGAGTACCGAAAAGGGGAATAGGTAGTCATGTATTAAGTTTTTCTGTATCTAAAAAATCTAGTTAAAGTGTGATTTTGCGGAACAAGTTTCCAAGTGAGTCTGAGAAAACCCAAATGAAAGAGGAACCTGGCTTAAAGTTTATGCTTTTCTTCGAATAATCTTTCAAAATGATATGATATCCTGGGTCCATAGTGAGGCCTTTATATTTCCATTGGCCTCATCGTCCTTCAGCGAGAGCAACAAGTTCCAGCGGAAATAACCAAGGATCCCATTTCAGTTCGCATTCATTTCAATTTCAACGGAAAGGCAACAAAAATCCCCCTCAAAAAAAAAGAGAAACTCGGCGAAAACTGAGACTCATTTACACATTTATGTGGGAAAACGTCAACTCTCTGAGTAATTTATGCACACAAAGGCATTTAAATGCGTTTCTTTCTGCTTTTATTTTTTTGAAGCCAAGTTCGTCGCAGTGTCTGGGGGCTCACTTTCTTTTTTCGGCGCGGCAGTGTCCCTTTGAGTAAGAGAAATGAGGTGTAATGGGTGCCAAAAGTCAAGAACTGAGGGAGACCCGGACACCAGGACATCATACCACCATCAGACAATTTATGAGAGCTTGGGGAATTGTTTCGAAAATTGACAAATTATGGTCATAAGTGCCACGATTAGTCCATTTTTCGCCCCTTTCTTTACATTTTCGTTTTGGTAGGATTGTCTCCTCAGAACCACAAAATGCATTATACATATTTACAGATATAGCATCCAGTTCACTGCGTGTTATTAATAATTCAATTTAGCCGTCTCACAACTGGCGTCGGGTCATGGAACCCGGCAAAAGGCATCGAGCACGCAACGGCGTTACCTTTCGAAGTCCCCCCATTACCATTCCCATTTCCCATTTCCCATTTACCGGCTACCCGTAACATTTCCATAGCGGCGAGCTCATTATATATTCATGCAAGTTAAGTGCGAAAGCTCATATAGTGGAATAATAAATTGAATTTCGCCCACGAGCTAGTACAACTGCATAAACAGCTACACGTGCTCGGCAAGGAGATACAAATGTATCTCCACATCCAAATAGTACACTGCGTGTCCCTAATGTTTGGTTTAAGCTAAAGAAGCAGGGTGTTGGCCCAGTTATTCCCTTTAAAACGAGATTACTTTATATATTTTAGCTTAATCATTCAGATTTATTGTTCTTATTTGTTTGGTTTTACTTAGTTGATTAACCAAAGTAGCCTCCATAATTTCCTCCTCCATAATTTCCTCCTCCAAATAATTCTTGTTTCTGCAGCTGTTGCTCGTATCCTCCTGGGAAACCCCCTCCAAATGCTTCCTGCTGCTGCTGCTGCTGACCAAAGACTCCTCCAAATCCAAAGGATTCCTGCTGCTGTTGCTGCTGTCCAAATCCTCCATAGCCACCAAATCCAAACTGGGGACGAGCCGAGGCAATGCCCAAAACAAGCACCAAACAGAAAATCTATAATGGATAGGAAATTGTTTAAAAATAATGCTGATTCTGTTAAGGAAATGTATCTTACCGAAATTTTCATTTTTCAAAATTGAAATTCTCTATCAAATATCTGAGAATATGAATCCTTGATTGTACTTTAATGACTGAGCTCCTGGCCAAAGTAACATTCCTTTTATAGTTAGCCATAGACTACCTGCAAAAGTAAGGATAGGAGATTTTCTACCTAAAGGTAGAGATTCTGGGAACTTAATTTTCCAAGCAATGTTTGGAATAAGCAAATCAGGTAGCCATCATAAACTTAAAGGGTATAATATTCAAATAGTTATATTTTCCTGGAATTCTCTTGGTTATGAAATACTTAGAAACTATAAGGAACAAGATGTTTAATTATCCTAGAAAAGAGTAGAATATATGATTTCTTATAATAAGAAACGCACCTTTGCAGGGCATAACCTAATCCAATAATTTTGTCTAAATATTTCCCTGTAATTGAACGCATCACCGTCATTAGCTTTAATCCATTTAGATCGTCCAGAGCGGATACAAAGTGAGGTGGTGACTATGTACCTGTCCCAGAAGCCGCAGTACTGTGTCATGTCCGAAAGTTACTTAATCAGTGAGGAGTCCAAAGCTGGAACTGGAACCTGAGCTCATGGCCCCGGGGCAAGGGTTTGGAGCTGCAACAAAGCCCATAATTAATATCACTTTACAGTTGCAAACTGCCACACAACAACCGACAGTTTAGTCACCATCTGTGCGGTGCAGCGTCGAGACCAAGGGGTATTACGAACAATGTAGTTGTGAAGGAATTCCCCTGTATCTTATGGTTTTGTGTAATAAATTAGTCATTGCTGCAGAATGGGGTTTTGGGAATTGTGGGAGCTAGGTTCTTAATTATTTTTAAAACGAAAGATTACCAAGATAGCCGCGCCCGCTTTAGTCGTCTTGTAGTTGAAAATCTAAATCGTTTCTATTTCCAAAAATATTAATTTCGTATTGTTTAGTCTATGAATTAATTCTGATTTATATCCAGCTGTGTGCTGCCAAACCGCACTTCCTACGTCCTTTCTTTGGTCTTTCCTCCCCGCCCAGCTGGATCCTTTTATGTGCCCCATTTTGTGGCTGCCATTTGCCGTTGCATGCAGACTTCGAATCCATCTTGTGGATTATATTTTCCAGGAGGCGGAGGTGTGGGGCTGAGTGCCAATTATATGGCATATAAATAGCATTACGCTCGGGCTGGCAGGAGATTTGTTGAGCTATTTGATAGCCCTGCTGAGAGATGACAACTCCAGCAGAAGCAACCAAAGATAGCTGCTGCTTTAAGGCAGACAGTAGTAAACTTTAAGTAAGTAATTATTGCCTCCAGTCAGTATCTATTGTGTGAGAGAGTAACTCGCAAAGTAACATTGAATCACTGCAGCAGCAACAGCAGCAAAAAGCGTTTTGATTAAGCAATCGAAAACGAGCAAAGTGCGGAGGAAAGCCAACACGGTGCAGGTTAGAGTAAGGATCGACAGGAGCAGAGGGCGTCGAGTGATTATCATTAGCCGCCAGAGTAGTTGCCATTTAGCACGCACAACGAGATGCACGCCAGCAACATCAGCAGCAACATCACTAGCAGCAGCAACAGCAGCAGCAGCAGTTGCAACAATGTTTGAGTAATTGTTTGCCGTTGCCGTTGCAGCAGCATCACCAGCAAAAGCAGCAGAGATGGCAGATGCAACAAAATTTGCATGCAAACACAGCCCCTCTTTAACCCTCGATGGCACACTGCGTTGCCGGCTGCTGGCTGCCTGCCGCACACGTAACTGAACGGTGGCAACAACTGCAGCAGTAATTGCAACAAACAATTAGCGTCACTTGGATTTATGTTTACGAGCGGCTGCCTCGACATTTTCGGCCGCAATGACAGTGCCGGCGACCCAGCTCCTACCTACTACCCCTTTGTGCCTGTCATCGGACGGAAAGTTGATCAATCAGGCCGTGTAATTTATTTACGATTTCGTCCAGCGTAAAAAGAACAGAAAGTCGATTGGTCACTCAGATTTGTTGCAGACCAAACTGGCAATTAAAACGGATGACAACAGGAGGAAAAGTGCAGAGTCTATCAAAAAGAAAGCTTACAATTCTGCGACTTTCAATAAAAAATAAAATTAATTTCCATTCTACATAATCATTAAAAGATCAATGTTCCCCACTGGAAACATATACTTTTTTTCGAGTGCAAGGCAGATCTTCCCGCTAGACGAGTCGCAATGATTTATGTAATTGCCTTTGCATAGTGGCAAGTGTTGCAGCATGTAAATGACGTCATTACAAGACCGGGGGGCGTGGCAAGGTGGTCGCCTGTCGACAGGCTGCCCCCAGCATTAGTTTAGCGCCAGATTGGAGGGCATATCCATCCGACATCTAGACAAACTTGCGGGCCGACTCAAAAGGCGTTGCCGTCGAGTTTCCGCTCCGACTTGCAACACTTTTGCGCAACACGCCCACGCCACAACCTTCCGCTCGACTTTGACTTAGTGCCTTCCCCCCTGTTTCCACTTGCCAGCAATGGAATTTAAATTCACGCGATTTCAGACACAAAACAAAGGAAAAGTGAATGGCAGTGAAATAGAGAGGAATTTACTTGTGCCAATTGAAAGAAACTAGCTTGAAAAATAAGCATAATGCAGAGAAGGAGAAATTTTCAGGTCAATATATTTTATATCTCAATCAATAAACTGATAAACTGTTAACACAAAAAGCTCGAAAATATAAGAAGTTTCAACTGAAAGGTCAAGGTTCTCCAAAACTATAACATATTTGATTCGAGTTTTAGGCTTTTAGATACACTAAACAAAAGGTAGAGCCTAAACCCATTGCGATGGAAACAATAATGTTAGATTTTATCAGCGGATACGCATCCTGGGAAACATCCTCCTCTAGTCCTCCTCTAGTCTCTCTTTGGGTTGCATAAATTATGTGTAACATTTTTTATTTCCATTTCTACTACTACTACTACCACTACTGCTTCCATGCCAAACTCTTTGCGGCTTATTAAAATTTCTAGCCGCCGGGCTAACAAGCTCCCAGTTCTGGATACACTTTTGGGTGCTGGAACCGATTGTTGTTTGGACATGTGTGAGGTTTTCTATTATCTGTAAAATGTTATGATTTATTATGTGCGGGTTCGAGTTGATGGTGCGGCCATAAATTGCGACCCTTTGGAGTCGTTGCCTTTGGCTTTGCCTCATCTCTGGGCCTCCGCGGCAGCAGCAGCCTTTTGCCAGCAGCAGCTAAGTCAATTAATTGGCCTTAGATTTATTAGTTTTTTCCCCGCCGGGGCACTCGGGCCCCTCTTGCCCCACGCATAGGTGCCGTGATTTATTGTTGCAGGAATGCGAACAACAAAGGAGAATTCCTTGACTTTGACTTTGGCACGCACGCAGGATGGGGGTCCGGGATGGGGCAAGGATGTCCAGGCGACATTCCGGTAGGTGTGGCATTTGCATATAAATAGATATGTCAGCCAAAATATGAACCACATGAGTTGGGTGCTCCATGGCGTCTACTTTGTTGTTGTCAGCTCGCGGCATTGCGTGTCACGATAAACTCGAATTTCAAGTTCTCCTTCGGACATTTTCCATTAAATTAGCCTTAGTGTCAAATGCTGACACCCAACCTGATGGCGGAAAAGGTTCTCGTTGTCGCTTAATGTATCGCACTGAATTATTAACTGGGTCAAAGCGGAAATGTATCTGTATAAGGAATATTACGTAGCCGACATGGTGGCGCAAGTAGCATTTACACTTACAGCTAAATTCGTGCTAATGAAATGTGTTTTCTCAGCAGAAATGTTTGTAATGTAATATGCTTAAATATACCCAGCAGAAAAGTATAAGAATAAGCCATGAAATGTAATATTTTAAGCACATTATGGTTCTAAAATTTCTATGAAGTCTTGCAGCTTGGCAAATCTCTCCCAGGGAATAAAAAATGGTAGCAAAATGTGAAAGAATGAAATGGGATTGAACTACCACAAATCATGTTGACAAATTCGGCTGTAGGCCAAAAGGCATCCCGTCATCACATAGGATAAGCCCAGCATTCAAGTGCAAGGAGCCGCATATGGGAGTGCCTGATGCAATGGCACCCCAGCACCATCATCATCATCATCATCAGCATCATATCCTTTTGCCAGATCCTGCCTGCCCCGGTGTAATAACTTAAAATCCCATAATAAAGCTACTTACTGCCTTCGTTGCTGGCGCTGTCCTCGTTGCTCTAACAATAACTATTTTTCTTTGGATTTGGCTCGAATTGAGTTGCCGAGGCTTTCTGCCACCGCCAATGTGCAAGTCAAGTCAAGTACATACGTCACTGGTTCCATTCAGAGAGGCCACAGGACCGACCTGCGGCAGGATGCATGGATGGCATCCATTTTGGTCTTATTTCTTTTTTCCGCCAGCCTTTTTTTAGTTACTGTCTATAAAAATTTCCTACCGAGCGGCTGAATTAGGATTGAATTTTGTCCTGATTTGGTTCCTTTTATCTGATCCGTTTTGATTTTTTCTGTGGCTGAAATTTTTATCTGGTCTTCGTCAGGTGAAGAGTCGTTTAGATAACCGACACAAAAGGCTGCTAAAAAATATTTTCATGTTGAAATAGAAATATTTTTCCCATTGAAAATGGAAACGTTTTTGCCATTGTGCCCCGTGCCCGTGTATGTATATGCAACCGGATGTTGTACAGTTATTGGAATGTCTCTTCATTTCCACAACCCATCCCGCTGAGCTCAATATATATAACTATCCCCAAACCCAACCATCCAACGACATCGACAACGGAATTTTTCTAGAATTTTTGTCGTCCTCGTTGTCGTCGTAGACAGGAAATGGTAAACTGATTTCTCTTATTAATTTCAGTTGGCAATTTGTGCAGATAAATCAGTGCAGTTGTTAGTGCACCGTTGCCATTTTCCCCATCCATCCTGACCCTGCAGCTCCTACTGCTCCTGCCATCCTATTGTACCCGAAACCAATTCAATCCTCGTGAAATGTAAGTAAGCTAAGCAATTGCTCGCATATTTGTTAA